ATTCCATGATCCAATGGAATATTGAAGCTTACAGCTTGCCATCAAGGATCCAGGTAGTTTTAAAGGTAGAAAATGGGAATGAAGTTGAATTATTATATAATGTTCACCCCAAAAGTAGGATTCATTGCCCAGGACTTAGCTGTCAAAATGGCATGACAAATTGCACAATTATTGCAGCAGTTTACATGAGCAGTTTATACAAGAGAGGTTGTCTTCAAAGGAAACCATAAAGGGTAATAGTGCAACTTGAAACCCAGAAGATTAGAATGCCGAGGAAAATGATATTTTATTGACCTGTAGAGTGTGTTTTAGGTTTGTATTCCTGACTCTGGAGCTCACCAATTACCGGTGTTATAAATGTAATGTGATTCCCCTGAAGGAGAGAAAGAAAGGACTTAAGAAATACCTCCTCACGCCACAGATAATTAGGGAGGATCAAAGCTCATAGCAATCATGGAGGGGAAAATAGAAATGCTGGTGAACAGAGTGTTATTTTCTTGACCATGTAAAGAGTTATGGTTCATCTTAGAAAAACCTGGGGAGAAATATTTGAAAGAAGGTTTTCTAATCTTATTAAGAAGCTTTAAACTAAAACTATACAAAGAGAAAAAAAAATGCTTTTAAAATAGTATGCGCTTGAATCTAATGCATGACACTGCATAGGACAAAGCAACAGGAGTACTTGGAAGAAGATCTCAAAAATTCTCTTGGAAAAAAAAATAATAGGAAAGCTATTTGAAAGTCATAGTTTTAGTCTTAGATGTCTTACACCAATGGCAAAAATATGGGTAATAAATAAAATCAGCTTAAATTCTCATGAAGAGAGCTTAAATCGAGTTGAATAAGCATCACTGAACTTGCTAGGATGGTACTCAGTGAAAAATTGTAATTAAAGGTAATAATCTGTTCCAAAATAGATTTAACAGGAGAAAAAGCATGAAATATTGCAAAGATATGGGGTGGGGGGAAATTTTATAAATCTAGAGGCGAAGCATGCCAGGGAAAAACACCAAAATAATATCATAGTGGGAATTCTGTACAACCTGTTTAGCAACATGGAGGACATTGCATGATGTTTTATAATAGTTATAACACAACTGGAACAATGGCAAAAAAAAATCTCCATACAGACTTCAATTTCAAAAAATATGCTTAAATATTTTGAAAGAAGAGCATTTGATCAACTAATATGCTGAGCAATTTTACCTTATAGGTACTCGAAGAAGCAAGGAGGAAAGGGAATTAGGATTGCCAAGAACATGCACTGTTTACATGTAAAGTATTTTGATTTCAGCAAAATATAAAATAAAAATGCCCCCTGATTATTTTATGGAAAAGATGCTAAAATGTGGATATAGGTCATACTATCAAAGTGGTTTCTGAGAGGACTGGACAACACACTAAACAAAAGAGTTTATATTGATTCAAGATGACATTTATTTCTGGGGGCAGAACAGTTACCTTTTAGCAGCTTAAAGTGGTATGTCATATGAATTTCAGAAACACTGAAATGCAAAACAAATAAATAACTTATCCATAGAAAACACAACAATAACTGACATGGTGATAACTTCAGCTAAGTATGTCTCTCTTAAAAAATAGACTGTAACCTACTAACTCAAAAAGCAGAAGTATAAAGTTTAAGCAATCAAAATCAGCAGCAAACAACAAGTTAGAAGCATTTCAGACATGCATAGAATTTTATGGATGGAGCATCTTTTGCAATTCTTATTGGTCACACAACTTTAAAGCCAAGCAACTAGCCTAACTCCTCAAGGGACCTAGGGTGTTTCATCTTTTATGTGGTCATTTGCAAAATTATGAACTTCTTATTAACCGAATAGAAAGATAATTTTGGCAACGACCTACACTAGCTATCAGTGGGATACTAACTGCAGAGCAAAAGAAGGAGGCAAGTTTTAAGAGAATTTATCAAAATAATTACGGGAGAATACTTTCATTAAAAAAATAAATTGGTATAATTAGAATAGAATCATAATTCTTTTGCAAGTGCTGCTGCATATACTCCATCTTTGTTACCTTTAATGATTTGACATTCAGTTAAAATTAAGTGCTTCTTCCACAGTGTGGAAAAATTCTGATTTACTGTTCCATTCAATTCTTAGCTTAATGGGAAATGAAGCAGAATTAGTTACTTGTAGCAAGTGATTATCTCTCCTTTTTTAAAATTTCAATCTTTATTGTTGAGAGTATTGCAAATGTCCCTTTTCATTCCCTTCATTGCCCTCTCCACCCAGTTCCTGCCCCACCCCAGGCTTTCACCACCCTATCGTCTGGGTCCATAGGTAATGCATCCTATATAATAAAGAGGTAATATGCAAATTGACCATCACTCCAACACACAAGATGGCCACTTCTATGTGGTCAAAGATGGCCACCCCCATGTGTAAACAAGATGGCCCCCACAAGATGGCCAGCAGGAGAGGGCAGTTGTGGGTGATCAGGCCAGCAGGGGAGGGCAGTTAGGGGTGACTGGGCCTTCAGGAGAGGGTAGTTATGAGTGACTAGGTTGGCAGAGGAAGGCAGTTGGGGGTGACCAGTCCTACAGGGGAGGCAGTTAGGGGTGACCAGGCTGTCAGAGGAGGACATTTAAGGCCAATCAGGCTGGCAGGCAGGAGAGCAGTTAGGAGCCAGAAGTCTTAGGTAATGCCTAAAGGGACAGTTGGACATCCCTCTAGGTGTCCCAGATTGGAGAGAATGCAGGTTGAGCTGAGGGACACACACACACACACACACACACACACACACACACACACACACACACCTGTGCACAAGTTTCATGCACCGGGCCTCTACTATCTATATAAATAGAAGCCAAGCAACTGGAACATCCAGAACAACTGGAACAACTGTTCACTATGATGAGCACTGCAGCTTGCCAATTAGCCTGATTGAGGGCAGGGTCAACTGGCCAACCTCCCATGGCCCTTTCCCTAGGACTGGGCCAGCTCCCAATCACCCCCCATCAGGGCAGACCAGCTGGACCCCACCCATGGATGAATTCATAAACCTGGCCTCTAGTCTGCATATAAGATCTTTGGTTAATCTCTTCCCACCTCATCCCACCTCCCCTTTGAGACTCATTAGTCTGTTCCATGTTTCCATGCTTCTGATTCTATATTCAATTGTTAATTATATGTATTTATTGCCATTTTATTGTTCATATTTCTTCTTCTTCTTCTTCTTCTTCTTCTTCTTCTTCTTCTTCTTCTTCTTCTTCTTCTTCTTCTTCTTCTTCAGAATACCTTACAAAATTTTATGTAATTCTGATTTGGTGGTAATTAACTACTTTAGCTTTTTCTTGTCTGTGAAGTTCTTTATTTGACCTTCAATTCTAAATTATAGCTTTGCTGGGTAGAGTAATCTTGGTTATAGGTACTTGCTGTTTATTACTTTGAGTATTTTTTGCCACTCCCTTCTGGCCTGAAAAATTGAGAAATCAGCTGACAGTTATATAGGATCTCCCTTGTAGGTAACTAACTACTTTTCTCTTGTTTTTAAGCTTCTCTCTTTGTCTTTAATCATTTGCATTTTAATTATGTTGTGTCTTGGTGTGGGCCTCTTTGGGTTTTTCTAATTCAGCTCTCTTTACGCTTCCTGGATTTCTAAGTCTATTTCTTTTAGAGGTAGGGGAAATTTTATGTCATTATTTCTTCAAATATGTTTTCAGTATCTTGCTCTCTTTCTTCTACTTCTGGCATGCCCATGATGCAAATGTTGGTAGGCTTGAAGTTGTCCCACAGGTTCCTTATACTATCTTCATATTTTTGGCTTTTTTCCCCCTCTTCTAATTGGGTGCTTTTTGCTTCCTCATATTCCAAATCCTTTATTTTATTCTCAGAATCTTGTACTCTACTGCTTAATTCCTGTAAATTATTCTTTATTTCAGTTAGTATATGCTTAATTTCTGGCTGGCCATTTTTCATGGCTTTAAAATTCTCACTAAGATTCTTATAAGACTTACTAAGTCCCTTGAAGCTCTCATTAAGATCCTTATGCAACTTTATAACCATTGTTTTGAACTGTGTACCCAATAGTTTGCTTGCTTCCATTTCCTTCATTTGTAAAATGTTTTTTTGTGTTTTGTTTTGTTTTGTTTTGGCCACTTCCATGTGTTTGTTTCTATGTATTAGGTAGAACTTCTATGTCTCTCAGACTTGGTATAATGGCCTTTGTAGTGGGTGTCCTATAGGGCCCAGGGACTCAATCTCTCTAGTCACCTGAGCTGGGCACTCTAGGTGAACCCTGTGTAGGCTATGTGCACAGTCTTATAGTTGAGCCTTGATTGCTGTTGGCGTCACTGGGCAGAAATTACCTCTAGGCCAATTGGCTGTGGGGACCTGCTGTGATTACAGTAGAAAAGCTGCTGTTCAGGAGACACCCCTATAGAGCAAATCTTGCTTCAGTGAGGCTTTGGAGCTCACTGAGTCTGCCCCTTGAGTGCTGTTACTTGTGGATGTGTAGAGTTGTAATCTGGTGTAGTCTGAAGCTGTCCACTGGGTGCACTAGCTATAGGTCCTCCCAGGAGGTACAAAGTTATCCACTGCCTGGGATTTACCCAGCAGGCACTACAGAGATATCTGAAGATGGCTGATATTTTTATTGGACTTGGAAGTGACCAGGAAAGGTTCAGCTGTGAAGCAAGGCAGGCTGGTGCTAATGCTGGGTCTTGTGCCTATTGTTGATAGGTTTGGGGCATGCTGACATCAGCTGCTGCTTGTTTGAGAGATTTTAGGAAAGTCTGAAGCCTGAGCCCAGACAAACCATTCATATGGAAAAGCAGCTTCAAACAGCTTGGGTGACGCTGCAACTAGGATGGGACAGGGTCTCAGGGAATAACCAGGGCAGAGCAAACAGTGTGGTCCACACTGATAGAAACTCTGATATGGCTACCAGTTAGCTCTGTAGTCAAGGGAGGTCTCAGCACTTGAACAATGATCCCTGTGATCACCACACTCTTAGAGAAAGCTACCCCTGAGTTTCTGCCCCCATGCCAGACAATCCAGCTCCGTCCCGTATGTCTCTTGATCTCTTAAAGCTACCCCCTGGTACTGGAGCTCAGAGGAAACAGGACCATGTAAGTTTGTGTGCCATCCCTTTAAGAGGAACTGCTGGGTAGTATCTGTGTCACACAGCTACAATCCCCACTGGTTTTTACAACCTGAAGTTACAGGGACTTCTCTTCCTAGATCTGGAACCCTGGGCTAGGGGTCTTGTGTGGGGCTGGGACCCCTTGGTTCTCATGGGAGGCCTTTGCAACAGAGATATCTCTCCTTATTAAGAAAAACTCCACATGTGGGTGTCGAACCAGCCGTTTAGTGCCTCTGCCCATCTTACCAGTCTCGATGTACTTTCGTTACTTCCCTAGCTGGATGATTTCCATTCAGCCAGACTTCAGAAGTTTCTGAATGATGGTTCTGTATTTTAGTTGTAATTCTGAAGTGGTTGTGGGAGGCAGTGAGTATCAGCATTTACCTACACCATCATCTTAGTTCTCCTCCAAGATTATCTCTCTTAACCTTGTTGAATTTTATCCACCTTCTGAAACTAAATAACAAAGAAAAAAATAATAAGACACGTATACTTGTTGAAGTATAGCCAAAAGTCTTTCCTATAGGACAAATAAATACTAAAAATTAAAATAGAAACAAATAAGAGCTGAGTTTTAAAAAACCTAATAGTATTTGTCAGTTATGATAAAACTCAGTATATAGCACTTTTTGTTTAAAACCCAAATGTGCCTTGATCCCCAAATACTTATTTATAAAAACCTTAAAAGGGGATGTATGGAGATGCATTTTATAATTGTGTTTTAAAATCCTTCAAAATAACCTAAGACCTGATAAAATGCACATTATCTTAAATGATGCACACATGTCTGTGTTAAAAGAAAAAGCAAGAAGCTATAAGGAGGTTTGATACCCAAAATATACAAACACTGAAAGTAAGCATTTCTGAAACATTTTCCCAAATAGATTTCAAATCTTCAGCTTTTAAAAATGTTTTTAATGAGAAATCTATACTATTGGACAGAAACTTTATTTTTTCAGAATAATTCCATCTTGTACAACATCTCTCTTTTTTTTTTCCAGATCCCCTAAGTATATTTCCTTTATATGTGTTTTACACACAAAGTACCAAGCACAAGTACATTTCTTTTAAAAATATATATATATTGTATTTTATTGATTTTTTACAGAGAGGAGGAGAGTGGGATAGAGAGCTAGAAACTTCAATGAGAGAGGAACATCAACCTGCTGCCCCTTGCACACCCACTACCAGGGATGTGCCCACAACCAATGTATATGCCCTCTACCGGAATCGAACCTGGGACCTTTCAGTCCGCAGACCGACGCTCTACCACTGAGCCAAATCGGTTTCGGTCACAAGTACATTTCTACTATGGATTAAACTTCCCTGTTATTTAAGCCATTTAAAAATTTAAAAAATCAAATATTTAAAAATAATAAATCAATTCTTGTGTCAAATATCATATAGCCCAGCTGGCATAGCTCAGTGGTTAAGCATTGACTTATGAACCAGGAGGTCACATGTTCAATTTCTAGTCAGGGCATATGCCCAGGATGCAGGCTTAATCCCCAATGGAGTAGGGTGTGTGCAGGAGGCTGTTGATCAATGATTCTCTCTTATCATTGATGTTTCTATCTCTCTCTCTCCCTCTTCTGAAATATATATATATATTTCAGAAAAAGTTTTTAAATATCAAAAAAAGGTTTATTAAAAGTTTTTAAATATCAAAATTTTGATATTTAAAAAAAGTTTTTAAATATCAAAAAGTTTTTAAATATCAAAATTAAGTTTTTAAATATCAAAAGTAGTTACCACTTATTCATATATAAAATGCTTTACAAGTAATAAGCTATTTGCATTTTCTTTTTCCCATTTTCCAGATTGGGAAGTTGACACGCAACAGGAAAAAGGTTATGGCCTGGAATCACGTACTCCTACTTTATGAACTTGCTGTGCCATGGTTTACTGTGGCAACTTTTTTTTTTTTAAGGGAGAAGTTTTTGTTTTTAATATATTTTTATTGATTTTAGAGAGGAAGGGTGAGAGGAGAAAGATAGAAACATCAAAGATGAGAGACAGTCATTGACTGGCTACCTGCTTCTTACCCCTTACTGGGAATTAAGCCTGCAACCTGGGCATGTGCCCTGACTGGGAACCAAACCCATGACCTCCTGATTTATAGGTCGATGCTCAACCACTGAACCACACTGGCAGGGGCCTGTGGCAATTTCTAATTCTGAAAATTGAGTTTTTAGAAAATGTCTCAGAAAATCTATGATAATGGCAACATAACATTAATTTAAAAAGTAATTGTATTTAATAGTGGGAAAACTTAATTCCTACTAATTCTCTGACACTCTAAGAAATTATGATTCTTGCATGTATCATAATAGCTTGACTCTACTTAAACTTAATGCTTAAATAAATAAATGAAGATAAATTAAAATCCTTTTTTTGGACTTATTACAATTAAGAAACCTTTTAATAATATGTGTGGGTGCAAATAGAAGTCTGGGTAGGAAGGATGCAGATGGGGAGCTCATTTAATGAAATTAATTACCGGTAAGTGCATAACTTATGAACTTAACTCCGATTTACAGAATTATTATCCTTTGAGTTGGAGGCAGTATAGTGGCAAGACTGGTGGTTTTCTCCCTAGCCAGTTTGGCTCAGTGGATGGAGCATCAGCCTGTGGACTCAAGGGTTCCGGGTTGGATTCCCGTCAGGGGCATGTACCTTGGTTGCAGGCACATCCTCTGTATGGAGTGTGCAAGAGGCAGTTGATTGATGTTTCTCTATCATCAGTGTTTCTAACTATCTCCCTCTCTTCCTCTCTGTAAAATATCAATAAAATATATATATATATTTTTTAAAAGACTGGCTGTTTTCATCCCAGAAATTAGACTTGATAAAGATGAGGCAGCTGCTCCATGGATGAAAGTTTGGGAAGCCCTGACCTCTTCCATCATATATGTCACTGCAGGAATCCACTCAACAATGTCTCTGGGACAAGTGACAAGGAGCTTATGGCTTCAAAAGGCAAAACACTTTTTTTTCAAGGCTCTAATTGCTAACCAAATTTAATTTACAACCATATACCTTGTTGAAAGCCACTTTATATACATTACTAGAAGCCAAATTCATGCACCAGTGGGATTCCTTTGCTTGGCATGCGGGATCGGGCCAAAACTGGCTCTCTGACATTCCCAGAGGGGACCTGGATTGTGAGAGGTGCAGGGCAAGCCAAAGGACCCCACTGGTGCACAATCTGGGCCAAGGAGGGACCCAGGAGACTGGCCAGCCATGGAAGGACTGTGGGAGGGTTCCAGGGTGTGTCCAACCTATCTCTCTCAGTCCTGATCAGCTGGCCCCTAGCAGCAAGCTAACCTACTGGGTGGAGTGTCTGCCCCCTCGTGGTCAGTGCACATCATAGTGAGCAGTTGGGCGGCCTTAGCATATCACTAGCATATTACACTTTGGTTGGTTGAATGGCTGACTGGACAACCGGACACTTAACACATTAGGCTTTTATTTTATAGTATTTCTAATTGCACAGTGATTCCATCAAAAGGTACTATTGCCCTCGTTTGTAGATTAGGAAAATGAAATTCTCTGAAAGGCTGAATGGCTTGTCCAAGTTCAAATAACTAAGTGGGAAAACTAAGATTACAGCCTTATAATGCCTCTGGTACGCATTTTCTTTTGCTCAGATTATTACAATTGTTTCTCCTTTTTCCCCCCATAGCTCCCTTCCACCCAGTTCCTGCCCCACCCTCTTCCCTTATCCCCCTCCCCCCAGGCCGCCCCCCACCATTGTCCTCATCCATAGGTTATATGATTTTTATCCAGTCTCTTTCTGCACCCCCACACCCTTTTCCCTCTGATAATTATCAATCCACTCCACTCCCTTTCTTTGCCCCTGATTCTATTATATTCACCAGTTTATTCTGTTTCTCAGATTTTTAATTCACTTGATCTTCTTCCTCTTCTTAAATAATACCTTTCAGCATTTCATATAATACTGGTTTGGTGGTGATGAACTCCTTTAACTTTTTCTTATCTGTGAAGCTCTTTATCTGCCCTTCAATTCTGTATGATAACACTGCTGGATATAGTAATCTTGTTTGTAGGTTCTTGCTACTCCCTTCTGGCCTGTATAGTTTCTGTTGAGAAATCAGGTGCTCCCTTATAGGTAACCAACTGCTTTTCTCTTGCTGCTTGTAAGATTCTTTGTCTTTTGCTCTTGGCATTTTAATTATGATGTGTCTTGGAGTGTTCCTCTTTGGATTCCTCTTGTTTGGGGTTCTGTGCGCTTCCTGTACTTGTAAGTCTATTTCTTTCACCAGGTGGAGGAAGTTTTCTGATATTATTTCTTCCAGTATGTTTTCAGTATTTTGCACTCTCTCTTCTTCTGGAACCCCCATAATTCTGATGTTGGTACTTTTTAAGTTGTCCCAGAGGCTCCTTACACTATCTTCAACTTTCTGGATTCTCTTTTCTTCTTGCTTCTCCAGAGGAGTGTCTTTTGGCTCTTTGACCTGATTCTTGTGTTCCTCCATTCTGCTGTTGGATCTCTGCATAATATTTTCCAATTTAGTCAGTTTATGTTTAATTTTTAGTTGGGTCTCATGAAATTTACAGGCCTTTTCTAGGATATCCTTGCATAACCTTAAAACTGGTTTTGAACTCTATATCCTCCATTTCTTTCACTTGAGATCTATTTCCTTGTCTCGGCATTTTTGCTGCTTCCCAGAGTTGGTAGGGTGGCTTTGTGTGTTTGTGTCCTATATGGCCTAGTGGGTCAGCCTCCTCAGTTACTTGAGGTAGACACTCTTGGTGCTCCCCTTTGTGGACTGCATGTACAGCCTTGTTGTAGCTAAGTCTTTATTGTTGTTGGTATCCCTGGGAGGAATTAACCTTCAGGCCAATTGGATATGGGTATCAGCTGTGTCTACTCTGGGATACCTTCTGTACTGGAGACAGTCTTATAGG